CAAGCCCTTTTCCCTACGGAGGGCTTCACTATTAGGAAACTAGACATATAGGTTTGGATTAAACTTTGCTATGCGTGCGGAGAGTTGAAAACCCGTAAAAAATCTTGCTACAACAAGCAACGACTAAAACCGAGGCAAGATTCTCCACATAAGTTTATAAATTTCCTACGTGAAGCGAGGTTCACTCCAAACCTATGTGTTTTTGATAGTGGAGCTCTCCCACAAGGAGAAGCAGAACACACTGTCTCCATGCATACATTTTCCATGTAAAGCAAAGATCAACCTGAACCTATGTGTCTAGTTTTTTGATAGTGGAGCCCCCGTAGGAGGGATTTGCCTCCATGTACACACTTTCCACGCGAAGCGAGGTTTCACATGGGTTTACAGTTTACCAAATTTTCAACTTGTTGGTTTCTAACAATTATTTGTGTGATTATATTTTTGTAATAATAAATTAAACTTTTTAATGAACAATAAGCGACGGCTAAAATCTCTCTCTCTCACTTCGAGACTACTCAGAAGAGTGCCCTTGACAACATACGAAATACATACAAGCGCTTAGTTTATATACGATAGCACTTAAATACATACAATCATTAGATATTTTTTGTTAATAACATTTTAATCAACAACGACCGCCGACTAAAATCTTCATAGTATTATTCAGGAAGATGATCTTGATAACATATATCAAAATTATCGAGATCGAGAGGTGTTCTTATAACTGCATAATTACCCAACATTGTTCTCTTTTGTCTGTGTGAACATGATGAGTAGTGTCCAAGTTTTCCTTTCACTAGTATTAATAAATTAATTTTATATTATTAGTAATACAATATATACATATACCATAGTGCAGATCCTAGTCAGTAACAATAACGTTGTTTCATTGTGTCGTCCGAAATTTCGAACATTTTCGTGTATATCAATAATTTAGGGAAGTAAACATACTTTGTTTGTTTCTACGTAAACGTGAACGCGAATTAATATTGCTAACACATGATAAACGGTTAAATCGAGGAATTAATATGGGAATTAACGTGCATGTTAATTTGCGAACAAATTTCACGAAAACCGCAGCGTCCGCACGCGTTCAGAGCATTATAATCTAATCGGCCGGAATATTTGAAAGACTTGTATAATTCGCATTTCGTGTTTCTCTACGCAATGTTTCTATTTATAACTATATTTATTAAACCCGCATTACTGTTCGTTTATATAATATTGCAATTACATTCGTTAGGTTAAGTTATATCTCTAAATAGACTTTCCTACAACTTGATTTTCGAAAACTAGAAAAGATCTGTAAATCTTGTAGATCTATAATATCGTCACTCCCTACGTATAATCCCGTAACTCCAAAACGCAAATTTTAGAGGAGAGCAGTTTAAAAAGTTTAAAGCTTCATATAATGTCCCTAGTTAAGGGATCTTTCGGTTTTAAATTTTTACTTTACTTATGAATATTTTTTTTTAATACTTGGTGACCACAAAGAACATGACTTTCTGAGTGTCACTATGCAATAAACTGAAAATCTCATATGTGACACTTATGTAATTATACGTAGGGAGTGACGATATATCGAATGATCAGAGAGACATCAGACAAAGATGACATCAGGAAGAGATTGTGACATAAATATAAAGATAAATTTTTAAAATAGCCATATCATCGCGTTTGTACTTTCAATCTTACGTCTAAATCGTCCCGCGTGAGTTTTATATCTCTTGCTATAGCGAAAAATAATACTCAATACAAAAGAACTATTTTTACTCATCAGTGAATTTTTTCCATTTGGCTAAAATATTTTTTTCTGGGAATATTCCATATTATTACTACTGTCATATATTGATGTATTATAAAATGTAAGCTTAATGGGAATTTCAGATTTTGTGCGTTTCCTGCTACCGTGCTAATAATAATACGTAAACGAGGCCAAAATTGTGACCATGTTAACCTCGAGGGTATATACACATCGGTAACTTTACGGAAAAGGGACGAACAAAGCGATGGACGGTGGCGAAGCGGGTAGAGCGGAGAGTCATAATTAGGTTGTTAGCTAATGGGGAACACACTGTATGCAAATATGCCGTACGCGCGACATTACGCATCACAAGCTGGTATAACTATCTCACGTATCTTTCCGAAAAAACACACCGTTTAAGATTCATTACGCGTGCGCGTACTTAAAAGGTGTGGTGTTAAAATATTATGAGAGAACAAGTTGATATCGAGATCTGGCAGTGAGGGATAAAACCTTATTGATATTTTAAACTCACGTCCGATAAGCATGTATAATCCAGTTCAAAATCAAGTCTCGACAGAAATAATATCGAATATTTTAAATAAATTGCTTTTTACAAAAACATCTAACTTGAAAAAATATATATCTCAATGAATAAATAGGCTGTAACAGTGAATAAAGACTTTAACAATGAATAAATAGGCTTTTGAGATTTTTAATTACGTTAAAAAAAGAGTGTATTTTTGTGATTATTTTATATAGTGTATTCTATACACTTTTGTAAATATTTTATATAATATCTGAGTTAAAAAATATTAATATTTTCTCTCATTATAAAATATAAATTTGTAATCTAACATATATGTTTCCATAGTAATATATACTCATGTTGATCGTGCTCATGTCGATTTAATTTAAACTCGTATAAAAATATAAATTCGATTATTTATTTAAATGAGACGTTTTGCACATCGACAGTGTAGTAGACCTTATATATATTTTTTTTTTTTGATCGTTCTCTCTCTACTATTTATATAACTCAACACAAATTGTAATTTCCATCCATACATGATGAAAATTTATTAGAAGAAGCGCAACCTCCCGTACGTAAACAAATCATGAGGTTGTTGAAATAATCGCACGGTATAAAATATTAAATAAAAACAGTTGTAAAGTAATTTTAATTGCGAATATTTTCAGAATATTTCTCTCGTGACGCAAAACCGTTTCTATGTGGAAGTCTTAAGCTTTACTGTCTATATTAAGACTCGTTATGTATGTTGTACAATCTTGTATACAATTTTTGATTTATGTCGCGCTAAACTTATCTTGATGTTTGCTCGCGTAAATAGCAAGAAGAAATAAAAATGAGAAAAACAACAAAGTAAACATTAAAAAGTACATATATTGTCGCTAAATATTATTATCTTATTAAATTAATATCATCTTAATGAAGAGAGAATGTATCAAAGAGCAAATTTGTCGATATATTTTTTCTGATACAGTAAAATTAAATTACAGGTAAGTATAAATGTTTGCTACTCGCTCATATGACGATATTGCTTATAACTCATCTCTGAAGAAATAAAACTACAAAAAATGGCTGTACAATATAACCATTCAGCATTTTAATGTTGAGATGCACAAATTTCAAAAGTTACATGTATAAATTTAGTTATGACTAAAATAAAAAAAAGACAAAAAGAAAAAGTGAACAACTGTTACTAAGAGTAAAGATTTCCATTTCGTTCCTAGCGCACGCTTCTTTGATCCATCCGTTCAGAAAAACAATCCGAAAAACAATTGTACGGTGGAAATTGAATGTTCGATTGACAGAGTTCTCCCCCGTTCTCGCAACTTTATTTCTGACGCTTTTACTGCGTATCTACTACAAAGTTATCGATACGTATAACACATCCTCTCAATTTTGACGAGCCATATGCTTGGTTTAAGACAGCGCATCGAAACATAGAAATTGAAGTATAGTGTGTACTTCGCAAAATAATTTAATACTAGTATAACACACAAAAACTATAATTTCATATAGCATAAGATATTTACATCTCTTATGTTGCTTGCTTTATATATTTGCGTATGTATCAATATATATATATATATATGTATATGTATATAGGTACTTTAGGTAAGACGATATAATATTTATAAGCTGATAGTACATGCAATATTACGATTTTATATATGTTATAATTAAATATATAGTCAAATATATATTTTATTTTGTGTATAATTATATGTTTAAGAGAGAAAATGAAAACAGTATTGTCTCAAGTAGAGCACTTCGCAAAATAAATAAAATTTATTGACATCGATATAGTTTAATATAGTTAAATATCAATTTTGCAGCTTCAGATTCTACATTTGGTAAATGTACAGAAAAGGTCACCCCCCTCCGATTTCAATGAGCTTGACATATGTTGTCAAGGACACCTTCCTGAGTAACAATCCGTAAATTTTAGCCGTCGCT